TACCCCTTTACAGTACAGTCTGCCAAGCCCTGTTCAGAAGGAAGCTCTAGCTTCGGTAAGAACTAGAAGTACGGAGTACAAGTATATAGAGGGTTCTACAATATAGGGATAATGGAAAAGAACGTGGAAACTACTATTTAGAGTTTAGAGTTGAAGTGCTTAGGGTTAAACGTTTAGGGTTGTAGTCGTGGTGGCGGTGGCGGGAGTAGTGCTAAAAGTAGTGGTAGTCGTAGTCGTAGTAGTCGTAGTAGTAGTAGTAGTAGTAGTAGTAATAGTAGTAGTAGTAGTAGCAGTAGTAGCAGTAGTGGCAGTAGTAGTAGGAGTAGGAGTAGTAGTGGTAGTAGCAGTAGCAGTAGCAATAGCAGCAACAGCAGCGTGAGTAGTAGTAGTAGTAGTAGTAGTAGTAGCCGTAGTCGTAGTCGTAGCAGTAGTAGTAGTAGTAGTAGCAGTAGCAGTAGCAGTAGTAGTAGTAGTAGTAGCAGCAGCAGCAGCAGCAGTAGTAGTAGTAGGTAGTAGTAGTAGGTAGTAGTAGTAGGTATCAGTAGTAGGTAGTAGTAGTAGGTAGTAGTAGTAGGTAGTAGTAGGTAGTAGTTGCTAATAGGTAGTAGTAGGTAGTAGTAGGTAGTAGTAGGTAGTAGTAGGTAGTAGTAGGTAGTAGTAGGTAGGATTAGGTCGTAGATCGTAGGTGGTCGTTGTAGGTCGTAGTAGGTCGTAGTAGGTAGTAGTAGGTAGTAGTAGGTCGTAGTAGGTCGTAGTAGGTCGTAGTAGGTAGTAGTAGGTAGTAGTAGGTAGTAGTAGGTAGTAGTAGGTAGTAGTAGGTAGTAGTAGGTAGTAGTAGGTAGTAGTAGGTAGCAGTAGGTAGTAGGCAGTAGGTGGTAGGTAGTAGGTAATAGGTAGGTAGGTATGTAGGTGGTCGTCGTAGTAGTAGTAGTAGAAGAAGAAGTAGTAGAAGTAGTAGAAGTAGTACAAGTAGTAGAAGTAGTAGAACTAGTAGTAGTAGTGTTAATGGTAGTGGTAGTGGTAGTGGTAGTGGTAGTAGTAGTAGTAGTAGTAGTGGTAGTGGTAGTGGCAGTCGTAGTGGTAGTGGTAGTAGTGGTAGTGGTAATGGTCGTGGTAGTGGCAGCAGCAGCATAGCAGCGGCAGCAGCAGAAGTACGAGTAGGAGCCGGAGCAGGAGTAAGAGTAGAAGTAGCAGCAGCAGCAGCAGCAGTACCAATCGCAGTACCAGTAGCAGTACCAGTAGCACTAGCACTAGCGCTAGCAGTAGCAGAAGCAGTAGTAGAAGACGTAGACTTGTTATCATTATCATTTTTATTACTATTACTATGACTATTGCTGTTATCATCATTTTGATTATCGGTGGTGGTGGTGGTGGTGGTGGTGCAGCAGCAGCAGCAGCTGCTGCAGCAGCAGCGGTGGCAGTGGCAGTTTCGTGAGAGCATTAGCGAGGGAGCAGGAACAGGTAGTTAGTAGTAGGTAATCGGAGTCGCTGATGGTGCGGGTTGATAGGTACGAAGTAGATTGACATTTAAACAGGCGCTGGCAGTAGAGTAGCAGGTCGTGTCGACCTAGCAGCTCCTACAGGAGTCTAGACTCTAGACCCTCAAATCAGTGCTGTCTGATAAGTCAACTCTAAAGGTATGGCGTACAACTTACCCCAACCTAGCCAAAGAACCCTGATACCAACTGAATCGGTGAGACAAAGATACGGCTTCGCTCACCAAACGCCTAGATTCACACTGCAGGGATGGCAGATTTCACGAACTCCACACAGCTCCATTTTTCTTTGGCATGCGGCGCCTCCTAGCCGAGCAACATAATTCTGACACTTTTTTTGTGTGACCAGGCTTTGTACCATTTTTGTATCGTGTTGGCCTCCGCATCTTTGGCTTTTGCCACCCTGATGCAAGGTTTGCCACACCTCATATGGCAGGGCAGGATCCTTGAGCTGTTGCGGCAACCGACTTTTCACCCCCAAACACCTACCAACAACCACGAACCGACTACAGGTTCTGAACCTACAGGACCCCGCGCTCTGGTGCCCCAATGCTTCAGTCCTAGTGACCAGTAATCGCAAGAAGCACCGCAGGCGCATGCTTTGCACGATTCGTCTGCGCCACGCTTGGCAGCCACGTGCGACAGCAACAGCGCCCACCATCTGCATTAAGAGCACCAAGGGGTAGCCAGATCTTCCACCATAGACCAGCTTTACATTTATATGCAAATATATAAATATGTGTATATATATATATTATATACGTACACAAAAAACAAACATATGTATCATGTAAATACATACATATGATTGGACCCACCGCAGGCTGCCATTCAAGGCGCTCAGGGCAGTGGGTTTGTCGTGAAGCAGCAGCTCATTTGCCTTTGCTTCGCCGCGCCGTCAAGTGACAAAGGGGCGAGGCAAAGATGTGGCACACAGCGGCTAAGGGTCCGGAGGAAAAGTTGCGCTTGTGTGGGGGCAGGAGAATTTGTCTTTCTACAATGGCGTTGTCTTGCACTGTGTCGCACGTTCGAACACTGCCGTCTGCAGTTCAGGCCTTGCAATTTAAGTTCTACATCATACGTAATATGAAGGAGGTTGAAGGATTGGACTTAAAGCAGCCAGGGATTCTAGAATCTAAAGCCTTCTATCTCAGAAATCTTTGTTCGAAGCAGCGTGTTTGTTGCTTCCTAGGCTACTTTTCTTGTGGGCCAGACTACTGCGCCTCACAGGCCCGCGACAGCCCTTGTCCCTGAAAACTCTCGATTCCAGGATGTCCAGGTATGCTTTCACAAACTGGGTACAACTTGAGTCTGCCGATCGCAAACCCCAATCTAAGAAGGGACTTGGAACACTGATCCTGAACCTTGGACAGCTCTTGCGTCCAACAGCCTTTCGCCGCGCCTTTTCCTCCACCTTTCTTGCCTCCTTTTCCACCTCAGTGTAGCCACAGCCCACCATGCTGCGAGGTACAAAGGGCATGTCTGGTCCAAAACTCCAGTGCTTGCTTTGATTGTGAGTAACGCGATGCAGGAGGTGAGTTGATTGGGTTGCGACTCTGGAGGAGCATTTGGAAGTTCTCGGTTTATCATCTGTAATGATCTAATGACCCTGATAGGAATAATGATTAAGAAATAACAGTAGTAGCAATACTACTTACAGACATAAAAAAGGAAAAGCAGTAATAGCAATGATGGTGGTAACAGTAATATCATTAATAATCACAGTGATTAGAATCCGAACTCGGGGGTACCGGGTAGTTGTTGGACATGATCAGCCCTGAAGTGTGCTGAATATTGGGATCATTCGTTTTAAGAACTCCGCTCACTCCCCTCCGCTGTCTGCTGTTTCAAAATAAGGACTACTTCCCAGCCCGCGGACGATCCTGTCTTAAGTCGTATTGTATTTGGGAGGTGTCTGTGAATGTTTTGTTGGAGTTCCAAAAACCTAAATTTGTAGTCCAGTTTTCATGTGTTTTAGTTTCCATGATTTTTGAACCTTGAATTTTGCCTGCGGTATTTCATGTGCGGATTTCATGTTTTGCCATGTGAGTGAATTGTCATATGCGATACTCTTGCTTAAGCACCCGTCGAGGTAGCGAGACTTTGTTGCATGTGCCTTCATGTGTCCAAGTCAACACATAGATTGATTTGAGCATGGTAGGTCGCAACATTGCAAAACAATTTTCAAGCACCGAGTGTGTGCACAGTGACTTGTGGGGCCTGCTTGTTTTCCTTGGGCTTTGCATTGGGGGCAACTGCAGTGGTACTTTGGGCCTTGTGGGCTTAGTGTATGGCTGCCATCGAGTCTCTTTTGCGTGAGTTACAAGGAAGGGTCTCAGCTATCGAGGCCTGCTTTTAATCACAGTCCTTGGAGATTTTGCAGGCTCTAGAGGAGCTTCATTGGAGGATAGACCGTCTCAGCGCTGCTTTGGCACAGGTTGAGCTCCGTTTGCAAGCATTGCACGTTGTGTGCTTGCACGTAAGGGCCCTCCCTGAAAACACTGCTCCTGTTGCACCGCCCCCTTCCTTGGACACCCTTGATTAGACAGGCTTGCTCAGTCAACATGTCTCGGCGTGACGTTCCAGTCTGCTTGAGTTTCAATGACCGTAGGCAGTGCCATGTCAATCATGTTTGTTCCAAGCGCTCCGTTGCAGTCCAGACGGACGCTGTGCCAGGGATGCCTCCTTTGGTCAGGTTTGGGACTTTAGATGGGGCGGGGGCTGTGGCCACGGGGTCAGGCTCAGGAGGCGCTGCGCCTTTGGAGCATGCAGCTTTGCAGCCAGTTTTGCATCAGCTTTCCCAGCGTCTTGCATCCGTCGAGGCAGTTTTGGGCGTGGAGTCTGGGATTTCAAGGTCTCCTGTGTTGGAGGCTTTTGAAGGTTGCGTTTCCGGGGTTGAGTCCTTTTCTGGTCTGATCATGGACGATTCCTTCAGGGGTGCAACACTTGGGGCTAGGATCACGGCTTTGGAGGGCCTCGTGGCGCAGCGCAGTGCGCAGGGAACATCTTCTGCGAGTAGCTGAGGCTACTTTGTCAGGCATCCGCTGCATTTGTCGGCCCATGTGCATTTTGCCGGGCGCAAATTGCCCTAACCCGTGTCTGCAATCCCTGCCATCACCCTCAGGCGTGCCCATCCAGCCAGGTGTGCCGCAGTTTTGAGTGCGCAGGAACAAATTGGGCAAGTTTTGCTTCTTGTAACCAGTCCCTTGTTCTTTGCCGTAGCGCTCTTGCAGTTAGTGCATCTAGCGGGTCCATTGCTCGTTTGTGAGTGCAGGTTCAGTGATCGCAGATCAGTGTAGCATCGCTACATTCATGTCAGTCTGGCAAGTGCGTGTACTGTAGTGCATTTCCTGCAGCTTGCAAGTTCAGTAGTCTCAGGGAGGGAGCCGGAGCGTCTTCTCGCAGGCCCAGGCGCGAGTTCCGCCATGCAGTGCTCCTAGCATCTCTGTGCACTTTGAATTGCATTTCGCCGTTGTGTTCTTGCTGAAAAGCGGGGGTTGAGCCATGACGGACATGCTTTTGCTGAGAGCTGAGCAGAGGCAGAGTAAGAGGCCTAAGCATTTTTGGGAGAATGACTCCAAGCTAAAGCTCCATACCCTTGCTGATCGTGCATCCTCTGTCAGTTTCAAGTTGGGCAGGGCTGAGCATCTTCTCTCAGCATTGAAAGAGAACCCCGAGCCTAGTGGTCCCGTTGCAGAGCAGGTGAGGTTGCCGGTGCTGCCTTATGCCGCTAGGAGGGCCAAACTCATCGATTGGCCAGCGGAATCGGATGACATGCATAGGAGGGCGCTTCATCTTGTTAGGGTCATGGTTGAGGCTGACTTCCAGGCTTCACGATTGGGCGCCATGATATATGAATTGAGCGGGAGCCTCGACAAGGAGCCCCAGATTCAGAAAGCCATCAGCTTGACCTTTGCAAAGAAGTCTGCAGCTACACTCCACAAGCGTACCATGTCATTCTGGAAGCTTTTCAGATTCCATGCTGACAAGGGTTATCGGTCTGGCCTTGCCTTCACTGAAGCCAGTGTCTTTCTCTACTTTGAGGATTTGAAGCAACGTGCCAAACCCACTGCCCCGCAGGCTTGCCTCGAAGCCCTGTACTTCTTCCATACCTTGTTTGGGCTAAGAGTCTTGCTGGATGAGTTAGTCAGTCATCGGTTGCGCGGGTTGGTGTACACAGCCAGTGTTGAGAAGAGGCCGTTGCAGCAGGCTAGGCCTCTTCTGGTGGAGGAAGTCAGGTGGTTGGAGTCCATCGTCTTGAAGAGCCTTGATACGGCCGTGGTGTGCATTGCCGGCTTTATCTTGTTTTGCATTGCAAATTGCGCAAGGTGGGGTGATGCCCAGAACGCTGCACTTCCCACATTTGATGATTCGGCTGCCAGGTCAGTGATTTCCTCTGAGACTAGGAGACACAAGCTCGCGAACACTGCCCAGCGGAAGACCACTCTTTTGCCATTCGTTGGCTTCGGCAGGTTGCTTTCATCGGAGTCGTGGGCTAAGGCTTGGTTGAGCTCGATGCAGAGAGCAAGGCTTCCTAGGCAAGGCACCGAGTACATCCTCCCTTCGTGGAATGAGAGCTCAGGGGCTTTCCTTAGGCGGAGAATGACATCCGGTGAGGCCACCCTTCATTTGCGTGAGATTCTCAGGCAGAATGGGAAAGTCCAGGAGCCGTGGCCATCATCACACAGCCTGAAGGCAACCGTGCTCACCTGGGCATGCAAGTCGGGTGACTTCAATCTTTCTGAGAGGCAAATTCTAGGCCATCATCTCGATCGGCCCAGCATCTCTGCTCTGACTTACGGCAGGGCCAACTTCGTGGGCCCCTTGAAGAAGATGGCTAGGGTTCTTGATAGAATCTCCGATGGGACTTTCAGGCCTGATGCCAGTACGGCGTCCCTGGTGGCCCACCAGCTTGCCGCTGAGGAGATGGATTCCGATCAGGCCGAGCTTGCGGCTCATGGGGAGGCTCAGGCTGCAGAGGACTCAGCTTCTGAAGACCTTGGCCATGACGAAACTGATGAGGCTCTTCATCGTGTTGTGCCGGCTTCTGAGAGGAAGATAGTTGAGACTCCTGATTCTGATTGGCTGCAGTATCAGATCCATCGCATGAGTGGAACACTTCACATTTGGGCTCAGTCTGGAGCCAAATTCTTGTGTGGCAGGCCTCAGACTGATAACTATGAATCACCCCCTGAGGAGTCTGTGTATGGCTTTCCTTTGTGTAGCCATTGTCACCGAGCGCAGCAGGCGGCGCAAGCGTCTGCAGCAGCTCCGTGACCTTATGACCCATCCATTGGCTTGAGTGGGCAGTGCATTCCCGTGGCCTTCGTGCCACAGCCGCTGGGCCTGGTCCTTCGTGATCGGGTGTGATGGCACGTGCTCGCGAAAATAGCTTTGTTTGGTGTGTGCCTTCGCGCAAAGTTTTGTACCCTGCGCGCCCGCTGGGCTGAAGCAGTTCCCATGTCTTGCTGAGGCGTGAGTCCTTCGAGACTTGCCAGACATTGCCGGATATAAATTGTGCTCCGTAGCCTTTGCCTGTGTTTGCTTTGGCATGAATCTCTGTGAGATTTTCCTGAGCCGCGCGCAGGTCATGTCTGTGGACTCCGAAGCAGCTTTCAGGGCAGAGGCGATCAAGCTCGGTGTATCCGAGGCGCATGCAGATCTCTTAATCAAGAAGGGGATCCGGAGCCATTCGCTCTTTGCTTTCATCTCCTCATACCAGCCGGGGAGTACGGATGAGGCTCCCTTTGTCGATGCACTCAAGCATTACTTAGGCGAGGATCCGAAAGATTCGCTTCCCTCCTTCCGTCACCTGTTCTACGCGTCCCACACCCTTGCTGTGCAAGAGCTCAAGGACAGGTATGAGCCCAGGGAGGAAGCAAAGCGTCTTTCCATGGCCGATCGTGTGGATCGTCTTGAGAGGGTCCGTAAATCCCTTCCCGGTTTGACCATAGATACTTGGTTGGAACCATCGCATAGCTTGGTCGACAAGGCAGTGAGTTTTGCAGAGGACCAATGCTTAGGGCCATTGGAACTATCGCGTTGCACGTCTCGTGAACTCGAGATGCGCTCAGAAAAGCGTGACCCTGTGACATTCAAGATCGAGGGCTCGATCAGGGTCTCTAGGCCAGCGCAAGAGTTGGTCGCAGATACATCCAGTGACCTCCAGGTCCGCGCATGCATGCAACGTAGAGCATTGGCATATCAGATGGCATCGCTAGCCTCTTTCACTGTGCTTGACAGAGTTGTGGCTAGGCTTTTCAGCTTTATGGTCCGCCCTGTGCTGCCAGGCCAAAAGCCTGTTACCTTGGTGCAAGTCATCGAGGCCGACAAGACCCTCTGGGTTCTAGTGGCCCAGAAAACACGTGGCCAGATCTTGACGTCCGGGACACCGCTCCCGATTGATGCGGCAGTGGAGGCCTTGCTTGATTCTTCGGAGGTCACATACTGCTTGATGCCGCGCACAGGGTCAGCCTCATCCACGGCAGTCCACCCGCCCCCTCCACCTCATGATGGGGATGTAGCCGTAGCAAGCGACGTAGGTTAAACAAGCAGAGGGCCAGGTCCAAGACACAGCCAGAGATGCCAAAGGCTCCCACGGGCGGCAAAGCCTCAGGCAAGGGCCTCGACTTGCCACCAGGAGCGCGCACTCGTGATGGTCAGGGCCGCCCCATTTGCTTCAGGTTCAACCGGAAGGCATGTGCGACACACGGTGACAAGTGTGGCCGGGGCTACCATGTCTGTTGGTTCTGTTTGAAGCCGCACGCCGGTGCGGATCATAAATCCGAGTGACTCGCCTCTCCCCAGCAGGAGCGTGCTGTGGCTCCTGTGGGGACTAGCAACCGCACACAGCTCCAGCAGTTGGCTGGTCACTCCCCCACTGATGTTCACCCAGCTGAGGCAAGGGCTGGCCTTGCATCCGTCCCCCCGACTTGCGGGGAAGTTTTGGAGATTCTTGACATGTTGCCATCAGAGTTGCCCGCTCGCGGTGAGGCTCAAGACGGCTCAGTGTCCTTTACCGCTGGCAGCTGGTCCAAGGATGGCCAGCTTGGCCTTCGGGCAAATTGTACCACTTTTCCGGCAGTGACTAGGCTGCTTTGCAGTTTTGTCCGGGCTCACGCCCCACATCACAGTTTTGGCGCCGTCGCCTTGTTTTGCAACCTTCAGGCCACGCCGCGCAGGGATGTTAATAATGAGCCATCCTTCCCCAACCTTTTGCTCCCCGTGTCGCAGTTTGCGCAAGGCCAGGTTTGGCAGCAGGATGATTCTGGCCCCGACGTCCGTGAGGTTCAAGGCTTGCAACAGCACGGTATCCTGCATGATGTAGCTTCAGGTCCTTGCTATCTGGACGCTCAGCGCCTTCACTTCACCTTGCCATGGCGCGGCCGTAGGGTCCTGGTTGTTGCCTTCACTCCGCGTGGTGTTCCTGCGTGCCATGACATTGTAGGCCAACTGTTGCCTTTGGGTTTCAACCTTCCCGTTGAGCAGCCTTCCGCATGCATGCCGAACCAGGTTTCACTTGCAGGGTATACCTTTTCACTGCCACAGGTTCAGTTGCGGCCTATCGTCTTTGATTGTGCGCCCTCAGAACTCATAGCTCTGGAAGTGTTTGCAGGCCGTGCTAGGCTGTCCGTGGCGGTTCGTGACTTGGGCCTCTCTTCCATGCCAGTGGATCACCAGGCCAAATGTCCCGACATGCGGGTCACAGTGCTGGATCTCACTGATCCCAATGACTTGACCACTTATTTTGAGATGCTTTGCACCGCTAACATCGGCTCGGGGCATTGGGCACCACCCTGCGGGACCGCCTCTCGAGCCAGGGAGCGTCCCTTGCCGCCAGAGCTCTCCCACATAGACGCTCCGCCATTGCGTTCGCCAGATCACCGATTTGGGCTGCCAGATCTGGCGCCGCATCATGCTGCCCGTGTTGAAGCCGCCAACTGGCTTTACGCAGTGACTCTTCTTTCAATTTGGGTTTTGCACCTCCGTGGCTCACTCCTCAGCTGCGAAAATCCAACGCGGTCGCTCATCTGGCGCATAGCCGATGTCTTGGCACAGGACCTTCCAGACCCATCAGCTTGGTTTGATTTGGTGGACAACATTTTCCATGCCTGCATGTATGGTTCCCGTAGGGATAAGCTTAGCACCTTTAAGGCCACCCCCGGGTTTTGTAGGTCCCTTAACCTCCGCTGTGATGGCAATCACGAGCATGAGTCTTGGACCCCCACTGTGTCGCGTAAGGGCGTGCTGTTCCCGACGTTGTCGGAAGCAGAGTACACTGCTGGCCTTGCTCAGGCATACGCTTCTGACTTGCATGCCGTGCTGCTCACAAAGGGGGTTCAGTTCGAGGGTTCCCACATAGGTTTAGGGGTTGCCAAGCCGCGTGACCTGCGTTCCTTCACTCGCAAGCGCGTGCCGCCTCTTCTTGCTGAATACTGGTTGGTGGCGCCTATTGATTGCGTGCCACAGCATTGGCCGAGCAAGCCGCTGAAGCCGCATGTGCACTTCCCGAAAAGAGGGGATGAGGTCAGGATAGTGCGGTCCATGCAGGACGTTCTTGATCTAGAGCATGAATTTGCTTGCAAACCATCAACCATTGTAGCCTTCAAGGGGGAAGGTGCCAACGGTTCTGAGCCTATGGTAGGCGTATTAAGGACTCCGAAGCAAACTCTTGATGCGACTGCGCTTCTTTCTCACCCGCTCGAGCTGCACTTGCCCTTGCCAGACCAATTGGTCAAAGCCGTGATAAACGTGCTTAGGTTGGGTCCCAAGGGGGTAGCTCAGGTTCGTAAAGGGGCCCTGAATAGGATCGCAGCTTTAAGAGATAGCCTGGAGCCTAAGGAAGCAGAGATCCACCGGTCCTTGCATCCGGACCTTCGCAAGGTTCTGCAAGGCAAAAACACTCTTTTGTGGCAGCAGCTGTTGCATGACACGGGGTTCCCCGATCCTGGTTTGATCGATGAGGTCCGTGAGGGTTTTGAGTTGGTAGGCCCGGGCACCGTATCAGGGGCCTTCCCAAAGGGTTACAAGCCCCCTGAGCAAAGTGTTGATCAGCTTAAGAGCCAGTGCACGTGGAGAAAGAAGGCAGCCATAGCGAAGTGCGGGCCCACAAAGAACTCCGAGGCCGATCAAGAGCTGTGGGATCTGACAATGGAGGAGGTCGCCCAAGGCTGGGTCTCCGGACCATTTTGGTCGGAGTCGGAGGTCACAGCAGCTCTGGAGACGGACCAGTGGTTGTGCACGCGGCGGTTCCCAGTCATTCAAGGGCCTAAGGTTAGGGTCATAGATGACTGCCTTCAGAGTGGGGTTAACAGCGCGTACACGGCATTCAACAAACTGCGTCTCATGGATGCTGATGCCTTCATCTCCTTAGTGTTGCTGATCCTTCAGGTGGCCGATAAACCCGGATCGTTTGTGACCTTGGACAGTGGCGAAAGGCTCTATGTGGCGTGTTCTGGTTGCTTGGTCCCCTGAGTCCAAGAAGCCAGCCTTCTTCCTTTCCACCGCGCTCATGTTCGGGGCCACGTCGTCTGTCTACTCGTTTAACAGGTGCTCGGCATCTCTGTGGCACATCCTCGTATCCCTTGGCCAGATTTGCTGCACCGTGTTCTTCGATGACTTCCCTTGCCTTGAGCCCTCAGCCAGTTCCGAGTCTGCTGATCACTTTGTGATCCAGTGCTTGTCCCTCCTGGGTTGGAGGGTGGCCTTGCAAGCAAAGAAGAACCAGCCTTTCTCGTCCATCTTCTCCTTGTTGGGCATTCAGGTTTCCCTTGAAGATTCTGATAAGGGTTTTGTTAGGGTAGGGAACAAGCCCGACCGCCTCCTGGAGTTAAGAGCAGAGCTGAGCCGGCTGTTGGATCAAGGATACATCAAGAGGTCAGAGGCGGCAGCGTTGCATGGTCGTCTCAACTTCGCTCAGGGCCAGTTCCATGGGTGTCCCCTTAAGCCTGTGATGAGTTTCCTCTCAAAGGTTGCAGCCTTGGGGTGGAAGGACGACTCCATGCAGGAGTTCCTCACCGCCATGGCCTATTGGGCCTCGTGTCTTGCGACTGATTCACCCCGCACTCTCAAGGTCTTTGACCACAGTGAACCCGTGCGCCTGTTCACTGACGGCGCTTGGGAATCAGATGCTTGGGGGGCCGGGGCGGTTCTGGTGTCGGGCCGAGCAGGCACGCCGCTCGTTGCCGAAGTGCTAGTGCCTGAAAACCTTGTAGAGCTATGGAAATCACAGGGTCGTGCGCAGCTCATATCCCAGCTTGAGTTGTTTCCAGTTCTTGCTTCTTTGGTGCACTGGGGGCCCCACATAGCCGGGAGGCGCGTCCTGGTGTTTGTGGACAACAATGGCGTTAGGGATACTCTCATTAAGGGTACTACCCCAGTCCCCGAGAACTTCTCTATGCTGGCCCTAATTGCATCTGTCACCCGGTCTTATGACCTCACCCTTTGGATCACCCGGGTGCCCTCAGCTTCTAATCCTTCAGACAAGCCTTCGCGCAAGAGGGTTTCAGAAGCCGTGTCAGAGCTAGCTGGCGTTGCGGCCGAACCTCTCAAGCTACCCGATCACTTGGTGGGCGCGCTCCTTAACAGCTCCTCCTTCCTTGAGCTTATGAGGGCCGGCATCGCCTGAACGCATCGGTTGAGGTGCTTTTGAAAAGTGGGGTGTGATATGAGCGAGGCCTTCGTGCTGGGCTCCATGTCGGACCACCTTCGAGTGGGCTCCCCTAGCGGCACCTTTGTGTGACCTTTGTCAACTAGTGTCCCAGCCTGGGACATAGCACCAAGGACCGTTGTGCCATTTTGGCGAAGCCCCACTCTCCACAGGAGCAAAAAGAGTTGCGTCCGAGTGATTGCGCTTGTGCTAGGTCGAATTTATATTCGATATGATTGAAGGAAGAGTGAATAAATATTTCACGAATGGAAATTTTGGTTATAGCTCCGATAATCTTTCTGTAAAGGAGATACCCTATGAGTGTGAAGTGTTTCCCAATACAATACGATTAAGACGGACTACTTCCCAGCCCGCGGACGATCCTGTCTTAAGTCGTATTGTATTTGGGAGGTGTTTGTGAATGTTTTGCTGGAGTTCCAAAAACCTAAATTTGTAGTCCAGTTTTCATGTGTTTTAGTTTCCATGATTTTTGAACCTTGAATTTTGCCTGCGGTATTTCATGTGCGGATTTCATGTTTGGCCATGTGAGTGAATTGTCATATGCGATACTCTTGCTTAAGCACCCGTCGAGGTAGCGAGACTTTGTTGCATGTGCCTTCATGTGTCCAAGTTAACACATAGATTGATTTGAGCATGGTAGGTCGCAACATTGCAAAACAATTTTCACCCTCCCGCCCTCTCCGAAATGTGTGGGTGTGGTGGGGTGTGATATGAGCGAGGCCTTCGTGCTGTGCTCCATGTCGGACCACCTTCGAGTGGGCTCCCCTAGCGGCACCTTTGTGTGACCTTTGTCAACTAGTGTCCCAGCCTGGGACATAGCGCCAAGGACCGTTGTGCCATTTTGGC